CCCCCCCCTCACTTTAAACCCTTGAATGAAAGTATGAAACCACCATCTGCAGCCTGATAATTGAGTTTGCTTAGGAATCTCATGCTGACAATACAACTTTTTTAGCTAATCTCCAACCTTAAAGTGAATTTTAATAAAAGTAGTGTTGTGGCTGTTAATATGGAGGAAAAAAAGGACCATAGAATTAGCTGAGAAATGGTGAGTAGAAGCAAGAAGCTTGGTGGGTTAGGACTGGGCAATTTACAAAAGAGGAATGCGGCTTTGCTCGGAAAGTGGCTTTGGAGACTGCCTATGGATAAGGATAAACTTTGGGCTAAGATAGTGGTAGGCATTCATGGGCTTGCAGCTAATGGTTGGGATGTTGGAATACTGACTACTGGGGCTACCAAAGCCTCCCCTTGAAAGTCCATCCATGCTATTCTCCCCTCTTTCCTACCTTTTGTCAAGTATGACCTTTGTTTTGGTAATCTTATAAAATTTTGGGAAAATGTTTGGGTAGGTAACCTCTCCTTGAAAGATAAATTCCCCTTTGTATTTGCCCTATCAAGAAAAGATAAACTTGTATCCTCTTTTCTAGTTCCTTCAAGTTCAAGAAATGGCTTTGATTGGGATCTAAGATTGAGAAGGGGTGTGAGGGATTCGGAACTAAATGATGTTTTCGACTTGCTTCATATCCTTGATGGAGTCTATTTGGACTCTTCAAAACCTGGCAGTCGTATTTGGACCCTTTCCTCCTCTGGTGTCTATTCATGTGCTTCTTTCTTCAAGCCTCTTATTCAACCTTTTAAATCATTGGGGTTACCTTTTCTGATGAAGGAGGTATGGGGCATTCCCATCCTTCCATGAGTTGGAGGTTTTTGTTGGGAAGTCTTCCTGAAAAGAATTAATACTTGTGATTTACTCCAAAGGAAAACAACTAAGTGGTGTTTACCCCTCATTATTAGTGTGTTATGTGTAAGGCTAATGGAGAAACTTGTTTTCACTTATTAACCTCTTGCCCCTTTGTAACTTTTATTTGGAAGTTGTTATTCTCGTAGTTTGGGTGCAGGGGGTCTCCCCCAACTAATGTGCAAAGCTTGTTTGGTTCTACTCTTTTGAAGTGGCTAAAGAAAAGGGGTCAAGTGTTATGGAAATATGTAAGGGCTGCAGTGAGCTGGACCATTTGGGAAGAAAAGAATTCAAGAATGGTTTTAGGCAAGGAAAGAACTAGAGGCTGATAGAAACCATCATGGTGAGAGTGGTTCATTGGGTAAAGTCTATGGAGTTGTTTGCAGATTTATCAACAGGTGGCATCATGGAAAATTGGAAGGAAGTGGCTAGTTCTGATTGTCATAAGTCCAATACAAGCCCTACTTGATCTCCACCAATGATTGATTACATCAAGCTGAACTTTGATGGAGTAATACAGGTAGCCCAGGTCCCTCTAGTATTAGAGGGGTGTTTAGAGATGGTGAAGGCAGAATTATTGGACTATTTTCAGGCCCAATTGGAGTAGGTGACTCCTTAAGGGCTGAGGTTATGGCTGTTAGAGGGACTACAAAAGGCAAAGGACATGAACGTAAGAAAACTAAGGTGATTCAAAGCTAGTAGTGAAGTGGTTGCAAAAGGAAGAAAAGGGATTCTGGGTTTTTAGTGCACAATCTTGAGCTTTCTTAGAGGGTGATGTGTGTCAGTACGGCACTCAAGCCGGTCATGGTTTCCCTGGGAACTAATCATGTGTCTGACACCCTTAGAGCAACCTCTGTAGTCGCGCTCTATGCTCCTGATTCGGTCTCATGAAGTCTGATTAATAGGGTTTGATATGCCTCATGAGGTGAAACTAGTCTAACCTCGTAGGGCTTAGTTCACAAGGTTGAACTAATATAGCCTCCCAAGACTTGATTCACAAGGTGGAACTAGTCTAGCCTCATGAGGCTTGACTCACGAGGTTGAACTAGTCTAGACTCGTGATGCTTGATTCACAAGGTCAAACTAGTCTAGCCTTGTGAGGCTTGACCCGCAAGGTCAAATTAGTCTAGCCTCACGATGTGGTTCACAAGGTCGAATTGATATGCCCTCATGAGGCTTGATTCACGAGGTCAAGCTGGTCTAGCCTCATGAGGTTTAATTACCACTCTTATGAGGTTTTGTAAGGCTCTCTCCGACCTCGCAAGGTTGCATTCTTCTGCATCTTGATGCACCACTAGGCATCAGTTCTGCTATTTTATCATGAATCTCGTTGTACATGTTGATGAGGTTTTACCTTTTTTACTATTAAACATATATCGATTGTCTCACGACTAACACTTTTGTTGTTGGTCTTGGGAAGTGGCTCCCACTTCAAAACCAACAACTTCATTCTGTGGTTGTGAACCATCTAAATCCTCCATTAATCTCCCGCTCTCTAAGTTGCATCCTCCCATTTTCCCCCACCAGCTTCTTCCATGTGCCTAACATTAAAAGTATTTTTTCCCCTTCCAAAATTACATTTTTGCCCTTAGAACACACCCCTCCATCATCTTCCTCTTTCGAATGACCCTCCAACTTCCCCTATTCACCAAAGCAACAGACCTAAAGCTCCAAACCAGACATCTCTTTCTCCCATCTTTCTTCTCTATCGTCAAAGCTTGCCCTGAAGTAGGTGTTATCCTCTCCTTCTACATAAATCCTCTGGTTATATTTCTCACCTGCAAAAACCAAGACCAAGGCATTTGGAATGTCAGAGGTCACCTCAGTCTCCATAAGAATCCTTGCAGCATCAACTTTCTCCCAATTCATGTTTCTTTCGTCGACACTCAAAAATTTACCACAGGAATCCCCAATCACCATGAAAGTGTCAAGGTTCCACACATGTAGAGAAATTCCCAAGACGTCAATCCACGTTGCTCTCCTTCCGCCATCTTAAATAAGTCCTACCGCTGGGAGCCACCAACTTAAAAGTATGTCATAGATAAACAGAAACAGACCCCCATTAAACCTTCTTACTCCTGACACTCTTTTTTTAAGATAAATAAAGAAAAAAATTATTGCTAAAAGGAAAAAACATTACATCATAACTAGGTGACAAGATGTCACCGCCACCAGATTACAGTAACGCAAGACCACAAAAAAGCAACAAAAAAAAAACATTTCAGTATCAAAACAGATAGCAGCATTCCTTTTAAGATTTCAGAGAAGTCCAAAAATCAGTACTGAAGTCATTTTTCCGCAGTCTTTGAAACTCTGGAAGCAAAAGCACCCAACCAATAACTGTCGAACTAATAGCTGCTACCTTCTCCTCCATACTTTTCTTTTTCTCCTCAAAGATCCCTCTATTTCTTTGCTTCCATATTTCCCAGAAAACAGCAAAGGGAATATATGTCCAAAGGATCTTAACTTTAACTCCACCTCGGATTCTTGGCCAACAACTAAAATTTTCAGTCGGATCTGCCAGAGGGCTTCTGTCCACCTTGAATAACTTGAAGAAATAGGACCAAACTGGATATGAAAAGCTGCTATGAAGCAAAATGTGAGACACATCTTCCTCATCAGCACAACACAGCACGCATCTACTTGGAAACTGCAGACCTCTGAATTTTAGGTTATCCTGGGTTAGAATGCAACCTCTCACAATTAACCAAGCTTCAGCCCTAGGTGGGACAGGCTTACCCCAAACACCCCTAACTGGATCAGCCTCCACCTGATTTCTGATCAGTTCCGAGTACATTGACTTGACTGTAAACTTCCCATCCTTACACTCTTTCCATAAACTGACATCTGTAACTGAGGGATTGATCTCCAAAAAGGGGTCCTCTGAGATTTGATCTCCAGACCACAGCATCATTTACTACTACGTAGCAAACTGAAATTGACACTCCTTTCTTACTCAGATTATATAACCTTGGGCATAATTCAGAAAATTTCCCCACCCCTGACCAGTCATCTTCCCAAAACCTTATACTCAACCCACTTCCTACTTTCCAAGTATAGAAAGGGATAATCAAAGGGTTAAAACTCATGATACCTTTCCATACAACAACTCCAAACGAGTGTCTCACCTCCTTTGAATTCCACCCAAAGTTCATCACCCCATACTTACAAGTCACCACTCTCCTCCAAAGATCCTCCCTCTCTCTTCCAAACCTCCAAACCCACTTCCCAAATAAAGCTTTGTTGAAGATTCCAACCCTTTTCACTCCTAAACCCCCATCTTTTTTGGATCTATAAACCAACTCCCACTTAACCAAGTGTAACTTCTTTCTCTCAACCCTAGCATTCCACAGAAATTCTCTTTCTAACCTTTCAATCTCTCCCACCACTGCAGCAGGAGCTTTAAGTAAAGATAAATAGTAAACCAGCAGGGAGCTTCACCAATGTTAAGGAGGTATTTCCTGACAGTCTTTTTTCTGCCCCATTCAAACTCAACCCAAGCTGCCACTTTCTCCTCCTCCAGCTCCACACCAACAAACCTTCCAACCAAACTTGCTCTTAAGATCTTCATCCTCTCGTTGAGCCTCCCAGCTTGATTAATGAGCAGTTAAGAGTGGTTTAGCATGGTTAAATGGTGGTTTTGACTTTTGGGGGGGTTTCTAATTTTGTGAATTTTATAAATGAATTTTTACAAAGTTTTGTGGATCGCTAGGGGTTATGCATGAGATTCAATAAAGAAAATGGTTGAAGTTGAAATTCAACTAGGAGGGAATTTTCCTATCCATTGGTTGAAATTTTTTTCTTGCTCATTAAGAAAAACAAGGATTTATAGAAATACCACTCTTTCTAGATATTTCCAAAAAGGGTAATCTCTGTGCAGTCCTATATATTCCTTGCACATGAACTGCACAATCAGCATTGAGGGGGAAGTGGCCAGTTCCAGCAAACTATCTCCCCCAGATTTAATGTGTTGAGTTGTGTTGTGGGGTTGGATTTCTCATCTGATATCTAGATCATGAGTTATTTCAAGGAGTATTTGACAGAGTGTGTTTGACATAGGATGTAGGGGTTGATTATAGGTTTGGTTTCCTTCTTTTCATTTTAGAGTTTTGTAGGGATGATTTGTTATTGAAGTGGAGTAGGATCATGTATTCTGGTGCCCAGTCATATGGCTCCCAAAATCATCTAAAAGGAGTATTCTTTAAGTTAACGGCCAAATGGTAAAAATCAAGTAGGGTCTGATCACATCCCTAGAGTCTCCATGTCTATATTTTCAGAATGGCATAATTCAAGCCAAATAGGATTGACAGTAAATTTTCTTTTATTTTTTTGATAAAAAAAGGTATTGTATTACTCATATCAAAAAACAAAAGGTTACAACCCCCTGCACAACAAGGCACTGTGCAGTGCTCATGTCCCTTCAATTAATTTGATAATTATTAGCATTCAATTTATATAGTAAAAAGGTAATAAAAATATTTAAAGTAGGTTAACAAAGTATCAAATAAGATTTGTAATGTAAGAAGTCCTTTTATGAGAATTTGTAACATAAGTTGGCAGACAACAAAAATAAAAAATAAAATTTCAGCTATGTAAGGGCCGTTCCCCAATGTTGGTCCCAACTATTCGGGGTCTTAGGAGGAGGCATTTTTTTGGACAAAGTGACCACTCTCAAACTCAAACCACATTCTCATGCTTGTTAGCCTAAGATTTTCCCATTGAACCAAGCAACAGCCCATAGTTCAGCTACATAAAAACAAATAATTTTGAAAATAGTAGCTTAGTTATTTAAACAGTGAACCTAAAATTCCTTTAAGTGATAAAATGCCAAAAGATACCTTTCTCCAAGATGGTATGAGCTGCATGAAATGGAATCCGTGCAAAGACATCTGTCCCTGGGAACATCATCCAAGTACGCTCCGTCGCATCATGGTTACCACATGTGGTGCATACCTCCTTCACCAATGGCCTTGACTGTAGTCCCTCAATCTCCCTCATTATTGATTCAAAAGGAGATGGAACACTGGTTTTGGTAGTTCGAGCTCTCTTACGAAGTGCTGTTAGTGCTTCTCTGTTTCCATTCCTCACTCTATCATTCTCAACTAGCTGCAATTTCCATGCCAAAATACTTAAGGACAAGACAATCAATTGGTATGCAAACAAGGATTTATATTTATAACGCAATATTTTGCTAAACCTGGTGTCGGGCCAAAAGAAGATTTTCAGCTTCAATCTCAACCTCAGTTAACTTCTGTTGTAGTTGCTTCATATCATCATCCATTTTAACCGTCTGTATAATAAAAATAAAGAACATAAGAACAGATGTGTCATATGTAAGCAGCAAAGGAAGATACATGTCATTTATTCATTCAATGTCATGCAGCATTGTTTGTTTGGCCTTTCTTTTCTGCATTATTTAAGGTGTTGTCAGTGTGAAAGTGTGTCCAGTTCAACCAAAGGAGATCATCACTAAATGGACAAGATTGACAAGCAGCAGGAAAGCTAAAACATTTTTAACAAATCATTCTTTTTGCAGTCTGTTGGGGATTTGGAGAGAATGGAACAAATGGATTTTTGAAGAAGGCAAGAGATGAGGTCAAGTTAATGGTGGATATTGCGTCATCATTTGTTGTGTGGGTTTTTGCTCATTCTGAATTTCAAAATATGAACAGATTTGATTTTGGGGAGAAGTTGTGGGAGACATCAGAGTTCTATAGTCAGTAGCTAAAACAGTGTGTCCAGTTCAACCAAAGGAGACCTTCACTAAATGGACAAGATTGACAGACAGGCAGCAGAAAAGCTAAAACATTTTTAACACAATTCTTTTTGCAGTCTGTTGGGGATTTGGAGAGAATGGAAGAAGTGGACTTTTGAAGAAGGCAAGAGATGAGATTAACTTAGTGGTCGATATTGGGTCATCAATTGTTGTGTGGGTCCTTGCTCATTCTGAATTTAAAAATATGAACAGATTTGATTTTGGAGAGAAGTTGTGGGAGACATTAGAGTTCTATAGTCAGTAGCTCTTTGTTTGTGCTCTGTTGTTTGTTGTCCCTTTTTTCTGGTGCTTGGGAATCTTTTGATATATCGACACTTATTTGTATCCATTTTCTTTTTTTTCACTGTCAATAATATAATAAAAATGTGGAACTTGAATGAACAGAGAAAAGAATAATCTTTTCTGTAAAATAAAGTGTTGAAAATCAAGATTTGATTAAAGAGATCTTAGGCCAACACAAGCATTATCATCTGCACACAGAGAGAGAGTAACAAATGATATTTTCCACAAAGTACTTCATAAGCTTTTTTTTTTTTGAGATAAGGTAAAGTATATTTGTATTAAATAAAAGGTCCTTGTACAATGAGAAACTGTACAAAATACATCCAGAAGGACCTCAAAAAAGTATAATCAAAAGTATCTTCTTTAAAATCAGTATGTATAGACATCCAACTCCTAATAGCCTCTACAGTCAAATTGATGACATCGGCTTCTGTAGCATTTTTGTGCTCAAAAATCCTTTTGTTCATTTCTGACCACACAGCTCACAGAACTGCCAAAGAGATGGAGGACCAGCAGATTTTCCCTTTATTAGTTAACCCAAGTAGATGCCACTCCTCCAACAGAGCTCTAACTGAGACTGGCATGCACCAATTTAGATTCAGGGATTTCAAAAAGTGATTCCACACTGCTGTGCTGAACTTGCAGTGTATGAAAAGATGCCTAGAGGACTCCACCTCCATATTGCATAGGCAGCACACTAAATCTGAAATATTAAAGCCTTTTTTTTCAGTAACTTCTCTTTGGACAGACACCTCTCCAAAGCTGTCACCCAAACAAAAAACTTGACTTTTGATGGGGCCATATTCCCTCAAATGGCCTGACTGGGGAAAGGGAGTTCATTCTTCCCCTATAGAAAATTGTAAAAGGGTTTGTAGAAGGATTTGACTGTGAAAATTCCTGACTTATTCCATTTTCAAATTCTTGTATCCTGCATCCGAAGATTTAGCTACTGGTTTTGTAACAAAGCAAGGAGGTCTGCTATCTGCTGAAGCTCTCAATCATTAAACCAGCAGTCTACTTTCATTCATCATGAAGGAATCAGCCACTAAGGCTTCTGTTTTTGTTGCCACATTGTACAATGCAGGGAATAACACTTTTAGAGTGCTATCACCAATCCAATTATCTAACCAGAATCTGATTCTTCTTCCGTCTCCAACTCTAAAGCTGATGCATATATTGAACTGCCTGGAAGCTCTACAGATTCCTTTCCACACACCACAACCGTAAGTCAAGGAGGGCAAACCAGCATCCCACCCATTTGTTCCTTAAGCCATATTTCTCCTCTATGACCTCCCTCCAAAGCTTGTTTTGCTCAGTTGAAAATCTCCACAGCCAGCTGCCCAACAAGGCTAAGTTGAAAAACTTTATAAGTCTTATTTCCAAACCTCCTTGTGACTGGGGCTGAACAGTGAATACTAGTGCAAGGTTCCTCATTTCGGCTCAATTTTTTGGGGTAAAAGTTGTTAAGTGGCCAGGACCCCTCGGCCCATGACAAGTAAACACGAGCACCTCGCCAAACAGGAAGGGCATAACATCCTTGGCCAAGCACGCCTCGATAATGTTGGCCGCCCAAAGGACAGTCCCCAGGGCACCCCTATAAAAGTCAGCCAGGTCGGCCAACGTATACCCTTCGCCCCGAGCACCTCAGCGGCATAAGGCCAGCTTGACCCCTCGCCTCGAGCACCTCGGCGGCATAGGGCCAACTCAGCCCTTCGCCCCAAGCACCTCGATGGCATCAAGCCAACTCGGCCCTTCGCCCCATACACCTCAGCGACTACCAACCACCTCGGCTCCACAACACTTAGCGCGGTAAGCCAGGAATACAATGACCGCCTCGGTGGTTCACCTCGGCCTCGCCTAGTTGATCCTCGAAAGGTCAAAGCCGAGTGTGAATGTTGGAAAACGGGCTCACTTGCCACTTGGGCTGGAAATGGAGTCACCACCCATCAAGTAAATGAAGGGGAGGTGATAGGACCTCCGAGATTTACATCAAGAAGCACTTTTGATTTATTAGTAACTCCATTGCCTGAGGTACTGGCTAACCAATGACTTGGATGGGAGAGGGAAGGGGTTAGGCACCCCTCTCCCGGGTCCAATAGGTGGGGCCCACATGAAAAACCCAAACAAGCATAAACACAAAAAAGCAATTCTTCAATCAGATAAATAACAAGAACAATCAATAACCAACATAGGAAAAACCACACCACAATATTTTTTATATATTTGTTTATTTATTTTTTATTTGAATGTTCTTGTATTTTTATTTTATGATGTTATTTTTATTATTTTATTTTTTTTATTTTTCATGTTTGTATGATTTTTATATTTTATTATTATTTATTTTTCCTTTTTTTCGTTATTACCATTTCTACTGAATTATTCTCCCTTGCAAACGCATCCTATCAGTTAAGCTAACATACCCGGACTTTGATTACAGCTGTTATCATAAATCTTCACTTTTATTGTATTTTTTGTCGCAACTTTTATTATTATTTTTTAGTACTATCCCTTTTTTTTTGTTTCAACTCTGGTTTGTTTTCTTGCAACCGATACCCCTCTTCGTTCTAACTTAAGAATCCTATCCACTCCCTTATCTGCTACCCCATCTCTTCCCTTATTCTCTCTTTTTATTTATTTATTTTTTTCGGATGTAGGATCTATTTACTTACAAATTATTATTTATTTCTTCTTTTTTTATTACTATAACAAGAAATCTTTGTGGGAGGAATCGAGCCAGTCGTCTTCTCCAACTTCGGCATCAAAGATATTGAAGAATAAAAGAAAGGGAAAGGGGGGGTCTCCGGTCTTGAACTCTAGAGACCGGATTCAACGTTTGTTCAGTCTGAACTCAGGTAAAATGAAGAGAAAAACAAAACCAATAGCCTGCATGGGTCAAACCTCAGCTATACTAATCGAGCATTGAATTTAACATTGTCTTGAATATAAGGAATAAAAGAAAAGAAAACGGAAATTAAGAACTTACTGCTAAACAAACGGATGCTTCGTTATTGGAGAAATTTACCAATGAAAGAAATCAGCAACAGAGAAAGTTAAACGAAACAAGATGATTAAAACGCTGATCCATCCACAAGATGGCAAAGGATGATGCGGAGGATGACTCTGTAGAGCTTCATTGTCGTCCCCAAAACCAGCAGAGAAATGGAGTAAATACGACAATAAAAAGAAATAAAGAACGAAGAATCGCAAGTAAAACGGGATTTACCTGAGTTGAGATGTTGGCCAGAATTCAAATGATGCAACAGGGAGTATCGTGGTCTGATTCGATCTGCTATTGTGTATCCTCTAGTCTGAGAATGAAACGGAACAGAAGATTAGGTAGGTGAAAGCTAGAGGAGCTGAGTCAGAATGGGGAAGGATGCCTTGCTGCTGCAACTGATTCGAGCTGTTCAGTCGCCGCCTCTCTGTTTTCGTCGAAGAAGGAAGACGATGAACTGTAACTTTCTCACTTTGCACGATTTCGGTCGATGAGAGCAAGGGAGCAAGGAGCAAGAGAGAGGAGCACAGAGAATAATGAAATGGAAGAGAAAGGCCGGCGGGGAGGGAATCACCGCTGATTCACCGCATCTGTCGAGGGGTGGAAGACGATGAACAGTTCTTGTCTGATTTATTTCATTGGAAAGAGAGAATGAGAGAGATGAAGAGTGAATGGCCGGGAGCGGGAGATATTGCCGCCGCTGGTTGTCTTCGTTCGAACGGGGAAGAAGAAAAGACCCTCCCTCCAGTTCTCCGGACTAGGGCGAATGAAGAGCTTCGGTTGAATTTACATGGGACGCAGGGGCATTTTCATAATTTTTGGGAATCCGAGGGGCCTTTTAATAATTTCGTAAAAGTCTGGTCGAATCGGGTCAATTGATGGTCAACCCGGGGTTCTGGATGGATGGCTGAGATTTTGGTTCAAAATGGAGGGCTGAGATGGGTTTGACCATAGAGACTGGGTTTGTGTGTGTGGGCTAGCAAAATTTGGCCCAAATGGAATCTTTTTGGATGAAGGGGTAAATGAAGGTATTTTTGGCTGAAATTTTATAGGATGGGGTTTTCAGACATTTTGAGTTGGTTGGTGGGATCAGATTGGCCTAACTGGGCCTGAATTGGGCAAATCTAGAAATGGCTCAATTCAGTTAATCAAGGGGCTCGAAATGGAATCTTTATGCGATGAAGTGGCAAACAAATGAAGCTTTGGGTGAAATTTCACAGGGTAGGGTTTTTAGGCAATTTGAGGTGATTGGAAAGGTTTGATTGGTTTAAATGTGTTCGGACCAAGTGGATACAGGTTATGGGTGTAAGAAGGGTCGATATGGAATCTTTGTTTGATAGACGGGTGAACGAAGGAATCTTGAGTTCAAATTTCATGGGTAGGTATTTTGGGAGGTTTTGGGCCTAATGGTTGGGTGTCGATTGAGGGCCATCGGATAGGTATTGGGTAGGTTTAACAATGGATCTGGGGGGTTTGGTGGTGAAAGTTGGGGTTTTTGGGGTTTTGGGCGTTTAGGAAGGATCAGAAGGGTCTGATCGGAGGTTCGGGGTGAATTGGAGGTTTAAGAGACCGACTGAGCAAAAATCAGGTGTTGACACCAGGAGAGCTAATGGCAACCCCCTTCCCCGACAAGGAGATGGGCCCAAACCAGCTCGGCCTCGGCCAATGCCCTCTAACTTCCTAAAGCAAGCAGCCAAGTAACAAGCCACTTCGAGCAACAAATTTTACTACTTGTGACCTCTCAAAAGGAGGGAGCATAGACCACTCGGTAAAAAAAATACAAAAAGAAAAGAGACGTGCGATGGCACAAGATATGCAAAAAAGTGCATTTTCATTAAACGTTCAATGTTCAGCAGATTACAAAAACTTCGACCTTGAACAGGGAGGTCAAACCCCTTTACAAAAACATGTATAGGCAAAAAACAAAAAGTGAAGCACTCAAGGAGCTCAGGCATGTGGGGCATCGCCCTAGCTAGGGGGCAGCTGGGTCCTCGACAACAATAACGTCAACAGGATTCTCATAAGTGCCCTTGAGAAGAAGGGTGTTAGGGAGCACCTCCAAGTCATCCACTTGAAACTCAGGGACCAACTTCAACAGTGCCTTCTTGGTATCTTCGATCCCCTCAAAGTAGGCCTCGGCCGCATGGTCTGCCAGGCACTTTTGGTATTCCAACGTCCGCTTCCAAGCAAGGATGGCACCTTGAAAATTGGCCTCGGCCTCGGCCTCCGCAACACGCTTGTTGGCCTCCAACGTGACCCCGTCGAGACGAACTCACTCCATGTCTATTTTCTCCAACTTTCCTGAAGATGAATAATGTGGGCCTACTCTGCCTTCAGGTCATCCTCAAGTATCTACTGAAGTTGCCTCTCGTCCATCAAGGCCTTAAGGGTGTCATCTCGGTTACTCTCCACCGAAGCAACCCGCACCGATAGCTGCTCGTTCTTCTCATCGGCTCGGTCTACACAGTCAAGGAGGAGGGTGACCTGATTTCCCAGGCCAACATAATGACGGCAAACCTGTAGTGAACACCTACTACAGTCAAGCAAATGAAAGCAGGCTAGGAGAAAAAAAAGTCAGGAGTAGTTAAAGCTTACCTCAACCAAGAAGTCCATCCCCTGATCCCGAACAAGGAGGGGTCTGTTTGCATCATGCCAAGACGATCCCCCTAGGGGATCATCCCCTTCACCAGAGCTCGGCCAACCCCATCAGTATCGATGGAGACACCCTCACCCTCGCAAACATTCCACTTCGGCCAAAATACCCATACGAGGTGTTGCCCCTCTTCGAAGCAATAGGGGCGTCCCTCCTTCTTTCGCCACCTTCGGCAGGACGGTCCTTATACGCCAGCTTCTTTGTCGGGGGTGCACTCGGTCGGCCTCTTCCTCCCCACCTCCTTTGACCAACCTCCATCTACCGGCCTCTTTCCTCTGTCGCCCCCTCCACTAGTGGGGGCCTATGGTTGAGATGTTCTCTCGGCGGTTGCGACACCTCTCTCTACACAAGCACGCGCCCTCAATTCTTTGGCAAGCCTCCTCGGCGTCTGCCCCAATGGCCCCTCTCTTGGAGCCTTCTTCTTCGCCAAAGCACTCTCCAGTAGCATGCATTTAGCATCCAACGGCATCTCTGCAAGAAGAAGCAAGAAATCAGTACCAAGGGGAGCTCAGCCTCTAATAGGGGCTTGGCCCGGAGCGTTCCCAACACAAGGAGATGGGTTAACACAATGGCTTCATCGACCCGAAGCGTCGACTTAGGCTTCTTGGCAGGCAAGTAGATCTCCCCCCAGCTCGAATTGAAAGACCAACCCTCAGGACAGGAGATGAAGAAGAATTTACTCTTCCAATTGTTGATAGATGACGGGTTGTCTACAAGTCGGCCTCTCCGAGGATGGAAGTAATACATGCCACCCTCGGTAATGTGTGCCCTTGAAGCAAAAAGGGCGTGGAACACCTTCAGCACCAGGTCCACGCCCCGAAGCCGAGCCACTACCAACATAGCTATAATAGTCCTAAGGGCATTTGGGGCTAACTGGCTAAGAGTGACCCTGTACCACTTCAGCAGCTCGGGGATCAACGGATGGAGGGGGAACTTGAGGTCAAACTCAAGGAAGTTCTGATAAACACATATCTCCCCCTCCTCCAGCGACCACGGCCAGTCACCAACATCTAGGACCCTTAACTTATAGACTGAGGGATGTGGTACCTCTTGGCTAAGGACTTCACCTGGTCAACGTCTAGGATACTGTCATGCTCCGAGTGCGGCAAACGTTGTATGTGCACACCTCGGGTGGCATAATCGGTCACCGTTCTCGGTCTCAGCTTGGGAACTGGTTCCCCCTGAACCACCAAGGGGGATCCCTCGGCCTTCGTAGGCATCACGGATCCGACACTCTCATGGGGAGACTCTTCGTCCCTTCGGCCGTACTCGGCATCACCGGGGCGATCCTCTCCCTCAACACTTCGACCTCGCGACGCAGGGCCGAGATCTCAGCAACCGACAGAACTTGGCTGGAGCCGATAGGCGAAGGGTTCAGAATGAGCTCGCTCCCGAGGAATTTGGAAGTTCATAGCATTCTGGGCTGGAATCATAGTAAGACATGGTGAAACGTTTACCTAGGACGAGGACGATGATGAAGAAGTTCTAAAGATGAGAGCTAAAGTCGATGGCTCTAGGAAGCAAGGGTCTTGAAGGCGAATGCACTCAGGAGCAAATGTGGGGGAAAATGGCGACTAAGGCCCCTGTTTATAGAAAAATGGACGGCCCAGATCGTGCCCAATCCAACAGCCATGTAGCAATCGCCTCCACGGCCTCGTCTGCACGTCGGCACGTGTCTCTCACCTTGGGAAGACGAAGCGACGCCAAGCGAACCAACCGGCCGACTCACTATGACCCGTTGGCTCGACCAATTAGGCTGGCCCAGTGACAACATAACCCGGTTCACCCATAACTCATCTCCTCCGTGACCGCTTGGTGAAGACGAGCTTCACCCACGGGCGATCGAGTCACCAACTTGGGCGCCCAAGGCGCCCAACTGAAGGTCCTCGCAGCCGAGGTCGAGGTAGCAATGAATTTGCTTCGCATCAGCACTGGAACAAGACAATGGGGCAAGACCTCTTCCTCACCCACCTACCAAGGACAACCTCAAAGTCGAAACCAAGGCCTCCCCATGGGAGAAGCCTCGCGGCTCACCCTAGAGAGGGGGAGAAGCAAAGTCAAAATGACGCCACCATAGGCCACGTCACGCTTAGAAACCCAACAATGTTGCCTAACACCATTGGTACACTCCCTTCAGCCAAAGCCGAGGCCCTCGCCCCGGACCTCCACCACGGCCTCAAGAGTGGGGGCAAATGATGTAGCGTGTTTGGTTCATCCAATCGCAACCCTACACGTGTCCCAGGGTGCACATCAGGCCGAGACCAATCAGAGCTTGTTCATGCCCTGTTTCAGCGGGCCTCACGGAACCAATGGCATGAGGTCACATGGCGGCCTAGGATGTCCGCGTTCCCCACGTACGGATTCCATCTTGACTGTCTGGGCTCCATAGCCCCTAGTTGACCTCAAGTATAAATAGGAGGTGACCCCCTCCAGGTAAAGGATCTGAAACTCAAGCTCTCTCACCAATCTCTAAGATTACCTGTTTCCCTGTGGCCTCGTCTGGGTGCCCCTCGTCCTCCTGATACCTCATTACCAACTTGATCATCGGAGTCCTCACCTTGGGTCTCCACCCGAGGCCTTTGACCCCTCAACCTTACCTCGACTCAGGAAGTGAATTTACAATGTTGACCTCGGCCAATCCGAGCATCAACAGTAACCAATAGATAGAAAAAGGGAAAGGTGTGGCATGGGTAAATAAAAAGTAGGGATCTATATTATTCCAACCTATTCAAACTCAAACTCTTAGACTCTATCTAGGACTCTATGTAGTCTATCTTAGTCCATCTCAAACTCTATCATAACATAACAAATTCTATCTTACCAAGAACTCTTAATCATCCTTATCATAACAACCCATACATCAAGTCTTATTTCAATTCCCTAACACGTTGCAAGCAGCGGTCACACAACAAATTTGCAGTACAGACAACAGCCATGCTACAACCACAAGTCGTGTTACAGACAACAACTGCATGATTACAAAGCAACTTCAATTATTTCTCTCAACGGGCTTCGACGGTTGGAGAAAAGGCATGTATGGGGTTCGAGCGAAATATTGAAAGTGGATGTGGAGGGGTTTTTCGTTGCTACAAGTTGCAGCAACGACAGTGATGAAATAGGGGTGAGAGGGAGAGAGAACGAAGGGGACAGCGAGAGGGAGATCGGGTGTGAATGCAAGGGACAGGGATGTGGAGAGAGAGAGAGAGAGGCTAGTGTTGTATTAGGCTTTGAAAGTTAAAACTAATACAAGTACAGGGTAGCCCTCAACTCACATCTGCATCTATTCAAAGCTTTTCCTCGATCTATCTTTGCCACATAATTAGAGGAGTATTTATGACACTGTCATGCGAAAGATAAGCCTCAACAAAATGCCAAAAGTTTTATTTTAAAAATTTAAAGAATAATGATAAGCAAAATAGCCATTTTAATCATTCTGTAAACGGACACTATCAGTAAAGAATATTTAGTCAATTGTCAAAAACAGTAGGAGTATTTTAAGACATTTCAGTATAATTAGTCAATTTCCTAAACCTTAAGGGTGGTTTAAGAAATTTGCTCATAATATATTATAAAGTATCACGTGTGTTATTTTTATGAATATATTAACTAGGTTTATTAAATTACACAAGCTTTACTAAACGAAATTGACGAAAAATGTGACTTTTTCAATGATTTTTACACATGAAAAAATTTACATCACTTTCCTCAGGATTTCAAATTAACCATCAATACATGGTCCTAACAACATTCAAACTAGACTTGCAGCTATATATTGGGAACATCTGCATTAGCTTGTTGGGACAACCTTGATGGCATTTGTTGGTAGCAGATCCCAACCGTTCTCTTAAAAGGTTAGGAAGTTAAGAGGATGAGAAAAATAAGATAAATATTTATCGATGTTGTAAATAAGAAGTCATAAACACTTCAAAGAACATTGTATTCAAATTTTCTCTTGTTTTTATTTTGTAGCGATTGAGGGGAAGGAGGGTTGTAACTCATTAACTTGTGTTGTTTCTAACTTTCCATAGATATTTTAAAAATTCGACCCGGAAATTTTTTTTTTCTTGGTGAATGTTTGATCAATTGGATTGAATAGGTCAGATCACAACATCATCATTCAAAGTAACTACTCGTTGTCTAGTCCATACGTGACATAAAACCAAAGATTAAGCGTGAAAAATTTTGATCAGATTAAATCCACACGATTCATCATTAGAGTTTGAATATGTTCAAACACCCTTCCAACATGATTGGAAATCCTACATCTAATTAGATACTAAATTAGCAGGGACCCGTGAGATGTACGAACTTTGTTAAGTGAAAGTTAAACAATAGAAATATATAATTGTTTTATATTTTAAATTTTTAATAATCAATCCAATCGAATTCAACCCAAGTTTGTTGGTTTTCTAGTATTTCTGATTAGCTTTGGTTTAGCAATTTTCCAATTTGACCAAGTTAGGTTAGTTTCGATTTGACCATTTGTAAACCGATCAAAATTACACCAACTCGACCATATATATATATTAATATTTGATATTTTAAATATCAATTTTAATGCGAAAAAGTGGGAAAAATCTCATATTTCTTAGTCTAAAATATTTTATATCATCAGTTTATTTTTTAATAATGCCACTGTAATTTATTAAATTTAAACTTACTTTCAAGTTTAAATCTTTTAAACAAACAAACCAAATTGAAAATAGACCCAAACTGGTACAACTCGAGTTGGCGGGTTTGCACTAATGGGCAATTGGTTTTGGGTGACAAACTCTTGACCTAACCAGGTCGATTTGGTAGGCGAAACAGCCTAAAACCAAACTGAACCAATCCTTGAACACTCCTAATTTTAGCTAAATTAATAGTCTAATCTCTAATAAATAACAATAGTTTAATATTCAATAATTATTGGAAATTTATAGAAAAATATACAATTATTGAAAATAAATTGATAATAAAAAAATAGATATATAATAAAAATACAATAATTACAAAAATGCAATAAATACTGAAAATATATTAAATTAGTCAATAAATAGTGTAATTTCAAATAATAGTTTAATCTCTAATAAATATTAATCAATAGATTATAAAAATGCATAATTACTAAAAATAAATTTGATAACAAAAATACAATAAATTAAATTTCAAAAGTTAAATAGTAGTTGTTTAATCTCCAAAAATTATTGACAAATTATTATTAAATAACAAAACAAAAATAGATTTATAAACAATTATTGAAACCATGTTTATCCAAAAATATAATAAATAATTAATGAAAATAAAATAAATATTAATTTTAGTATATATATATATAATGAATATACAATATTATTGTAAACTTATTACTAAAAAACACTCCTAAAACTATACCAACGGGCCATTGTAGTCGCACATTAGGAATATCTCCTTTGTCATTTATAGGAAGATATTCTCAATATACAGTTGTAATAACTAGTTGAAACTTGTTGGCACCATGTATTGGTAGTCGATCCAAACTCGGATCTAGTTTTATAGTGAGTTAGTAAGGTGCCAATTGGATGTTGGTAAGGCTTACTATTGATTGTAGCCAAGACTTCAGGATTTCACATTGCACCTAGCACAACATGCCCCACAGACACCCCACAATACATCCAACATTGTATTGGAAACATCTCCCAATAACAACTATGGGAGATGTTCCCAATGCAGGCTTGGATGTACATGTGGAATGTGTTTTGTGGGGTAAAGATTCAAACTACAACCGGAGATCAAATCTCACCTGTTCTAGAGATGGGGGCTATCACCTGTTTTAGGGGATGGGCTACCCTATCATGGCCCATGGAGTTAAAAAACACAAACTATATGGTTTTAATTTAATGGTGAGACTAGAGAATGACCCTGTATACTAAGTACGGGGTAACTAAATGTGTGTATAATTTAGGGCCTATTCGTTTTCTCTTAATTCTTATCTCTTAAGAGGAATATTTTAACTTTAAGAAAAGAATTGTTGTTTGTTTCATTTTCTACAACTTTTTGTTTTCCTTTTATACAAGTAAAATAATACAAAATACAAGGTTTTGCACTCTACATAATTGCATTTGTATTCCTTCCAAACGGAGCCTAAGGTGCAATCATACAACATTTTGTTTTACAACGATACTCCAAAAAGACAAGAAAAAACTCTCATATATGGGGTCAAAATGGATAATTGATAATTTTCATAATTCATAATAACATTCTCTGCATTCAAAGTTTAGAGGAAAGAAAAGTTCACTAATACCAATATACCTCTTAGGGGGCGTTCTTTTTTTTCGGATTTTGAGAGGGGGGAAAGTTGGTTAATGGGATTTTGGTTCCCATTGACCAAGAATCCCATGTTTTTTTTATTTTTTTCCAGATTTATGTGGGGACCAAGAAAAGTTTATTTTCCTGGGTATCACTTATCCAAGTAAGTGATACCATTCTCCTAGGTGGGTAAATAACTTTTTCCATCTAAGGGGAAAGTTGACAACACTTGAATGGGACAAACATGCCCTTTTTAATAATGGGTCTTTATGGTTAAAATTGTCATTGCCTTATTTACATGAGAAATAAAATAACATGGGTAAATGCACTTAAAGTGTTTCCCAATAAAAAACTTACCCAGGTAAATGCACTTACCCGAGTAAGTAACTTACCAAAAAGCAAACGGGGCCATATGCAATTATTATACTTCCAAATGTCAGATTTTAGAGAAAATGAATTGACCCTTAGTTTGGAGTTTACTATTTAATTATAAAAAATTAAAAAAAAACTAATATGGGTCTTGCATATTTGTAATTGGCAATCTATTCTGACTTATTTTATTTGAAACCCACTATTAATTTATGTTTTTTTTTAATTTGATTTAAGATGTTAAATGAGATCTCATTGGTAAACAATAACCCACTTTATTTGGTATTTTCTATTTATCTAATAAATCTATGTTGAGTTATTTATTTTAAAAGTTAAATTATGTCACTTTAGATCTCCTGCCTGCGATAACTCTGCTTGTATGGGCAGGAGACCCGGACTCAAATTGTGTTGCTTCCTAAAAGTTAAATTATGTCACTTTAGATCTCCTGCCCGTGATAACTCTGCTTGTATGGTCAGGAGACCCGGACTCAAATTGTGTTGCTTCCTAAAAGTTAAATCAAGTATGTAATTAATAAATTAAAGTATTTTCTTTTTTTAAAAAATCATTTAAAACAAACATAGGTTTATGGTAATCTTTTAATAGGTCCCACAATTTGTATTTAATAGACTATGGATAAACATGTATTAAGCTAATAAATAACTATCTATTAAGAATGTTTAGGAGTGGAACTACCAACTTTTTGAATTCTATTTATTGAATTAATAGGATGCCACATGTCTGATTGGTGGTAATGGGCTGTGAGCTTTATTAGCAATTTCTTAGAAAATGCCACGTGTTTAGTTTTTTAGAAAAATGAGAAGGCCACATGTTTGAATGGTAGGGGGGGGGGGGGAGGGTAGCCTGGTAATGGGCTTTATTAGCAATTTCTTAGAAAATGCCACATGTTTAGTTTTTTATAAAAATGAGAAGGCCACATGTTTGAATAGTAGGGGGGGTAGCCTGGTAGTGAGCTTTATTAGGAATTTCTCAAATTTTGTCACATGTTTAATTTTCCAGAAAATAAGAAGACCACTTGTTTGAATGGTGGTAGTAGATTGTGGGCTTTAACAACAACTTCTCAGAAAATGCCATGTGTCTAGATGTTCAGAAAAATGAGAATGCCACATGTCTGAATGATGGAGGCCGTAACTTGAAGACCTTCATTTAACATATATATATATATGTCACATCCAACTCTCGTCATGATCATCCCAGCAAGATCACATCAGCGCCCCACATGCAAATCACAACATGCATTTAGAACAATCTTTTGTACTTGTCATTGGGAGATGTTACCAATACACGGTTGGAATGTTCTATTGGGGCGCCAATGTCTAACTCCATCCTGGCCTTGTCCTAATTAACGTGGGTCGCTGATCGTTAAATCATACTACCAAATCTGCCCCTACTCTACTATTGTATTTCCACAAAATGGCGTCATAGTGGTCGCCGTTAGGTTAGTTATTTCTCTGTCCTTGTAAACCGGAAAAATATTGCCCTCTTAACCTCTCATCTTTGCCTAAAACCACTACAAACTGCACTCATCTTTCCACCCCTCTCATCTCAGCTCTCGTATTTCGAAGCAAATTATCCGATCACCCAGGAGCTCTCTATCTCTCTCTGCATTTTGGAAGGCTTTAATAAATTTGTTGCACGATTAGGGTTTCAGAAAAGTCGGATTGCCACCTCCATTCATCACCTTTAATGTCTCTTCTATGTATTAGATTCCATTCGCATAGACCTATTAATTCCAATGCTTATGAATAGATCATTCACCTCCTTCTTTAATGGTGTCCTTGAAACTATTGCTATGAACCTATCTTGTGGTCCAGGGAAAAAAGCACAGACAGCCAACAGCTTAATGGAGATCGGTCAAGATTTTGTTTCACGTCTTATTTGGAGATCTTTTTTATGGTTATTATGAAAGCGAGGCCTTGTCTGGAGCTCAATGGGCGTGCGGAGGGCGCGGCCGTGTACTCTCCAGAGATTGATGCTCTCTTCGGCTAATCTGGCTTTGTTACATTTGCAGAAACAGTTGCGCTGGAGATCACACAAGAAGCCAATCTCTCGGTCCATTCTGTGTGGTTTGATGCTTTTTACTTTAGGTTTAATTTCGCTTCTCACTGGACATTTTGCTACTGATCTCGACTGGTACTCTCAGCGTTTGATAATGACCGGTGCGCTGTACTTCAGACTGGTACGTTTCTTGAGCATTACACTCCATTACAACTTTGTCTTTGTTGTCGGGGGAGTGAATTGCAGTATTATTTCTGTCTTCATGCACGTGTGATTAAGTTGCGAGAATGTTTATATATTCTTAGAGGCACTGAACTTTGGTTGCCCTCCTTGGCTTTCAACGTAGTTGGTATTTTCCTTATCTTCTTCTATGCACATCAAGGTCAAGGTTACTTAGTCCAATTATGATTGATATCATACTTATTCAGGGTGATTGGAAGTTTTGTTTCATTGCTTTACTGGATTCCGATTTATTTATTTTCTTGCGTAGGTAAAACAAGTGAGTAATTGTAATACACGAAAATTTTGGAACATTCATAGTGGTTGGTATCCATAAGCAAATCGTTTTTTTTCATATCTCACTGGTCTGTTCCGTCTTCTAAGGTTTTTTTTGAGGGCTTCCTTGGATGTCCTTGAAACACTCTTATTTTTCTTAATTAGAAATGCATAGCATAGCCCCTGTATGTGAAGTTGTCTTCTTGTTCTTTTGTAGCATTTACCACTTAACAGATATATTATTTTTTGATAGCAAATAAAAGAAAATTTCTTTCAAATGAAGAGGAGTGCAAATGTACAATACCGTACCGTATAAGGCAATGAGCTAGCACCCAACTTCACAATGAAATGCATCTATAAAAACTAACATTTTCATATGAGTAATCACTTTACAACATCAAGACTCAGTCCAAGGATGTATCTCAAAAGCATGAATAAAAAATGGATCTATCCACCCCTCAAAAATCTGGTAGACACCAAAATCCAGTCAACAATCATTTTTCTAACTTTCATGTATGATCTATCTACGTTCCTTTTGCTATTGTTATTATCATCTATATTATTAATAACAATGTCACTATTCAATTTATTCCATTAAGTTCCATTTGCTGTTTGATATCTTTCATGAAGCCTTTCTCTCTTCTTTTCATTCATACCTCTAAATATTGTTCTCTTTATCCATTATTCTCATGAACATTGA